GTTAAATTTAACAAATTCTGTTTTCATGGATGCCTGAATGTTAAACTTTATTGTTCCACCTGGTAAAGCAGCAACGCTGATCATTTTATTAAAGATCAAAGAATTTAGACCGTTTTTATCTCTCAATGATGTTGCAGTGTTCGTTTGACTTTGGGACCTGAAGCAGAGTTTACACCCACACTGTTGATTTTTGAGAAAATCAAAGGATTTTAAGTGCGCCTTATAGTGCAAAAAATTCAAGTACATACATTCTGAATAGGAATTCGCTCAGGCTGTAGTCAGTGGTGTCAGTCATTGTGGCCTTACATGCTGCAAGTTGACACAACCAGGGCAAATGTGACGAGACCTGAAAATTGTGTCATCGTACTTCTACAAAGCGAGTCAAAGTTTGTGAATGAAAAATAATTTCCATGATGTGCTACTGGTGCAGTTGGTTGTGATAATCTTTACTTTCACAGACTTTGAAGTGCTCATTGTGAGAACATGTCTTTCCTTTTGTCTGAGAGCTTTGCGGTTTGACAGGAAACCAGGGTTAAACCAGCAGGCTAGTTCTCACTAAGATTATTTGAACAGACATTGCCACATGAAAAAAAGCCCCTCCTTTCCTCATATAGACACATACGCAGTAATATAGGACTGTTTGTGTTATTTCATTGTTTAACAACGTGTATTGCTTTGAATCTCCCTTATATATTATGTCATTTGTACGAAACTGAAACTGTCACCTTTTGATCGTACTGAGACACCATGATTATGTTTGAGGTGAGGAAATGGGGTAAGAAGAATAGGTCGATTTGAACCAGCTTGTGAGCAGTATGACATGCGATCAAGAAGTTTTGTGATTCGATTTGTAAAAAGGAAAACGTACTGTACCTTATTTCAATATGGCTGCTGTCCTCGCCATAGTTGTCTACTTGTGGACCGACTGTAGTCTGATCAAATTGTTGTGATTTTTGTGAGGAAAAAGGTTAATTTAAAGTAAGATTTTTAAAAAAAAAATAAATATTTTTGTTTCTTTTGTTTGGGCAGATATAGCTAACACAATTTTTAAATATGGAGCAATTTTTAATTTTTTTGACCAAACAATTCATGTGAGCTGCAAGTAACATAGCATGATTATTTGAATTTTTTTTGAAAGAATTAAATTGAATTGCCATCATACAGTAAAGTGGCAATAGACAAAAAAACCTCCACTTTAAAATAATCAGTTAATTTTAGTACAGCATTTTTACATCTGTCATAAACGTTTATTAATCAGACTGTAAATACTTAAAGAAGATAAGAAAATTAGATCCACTGAGAATGAGGGGAAAGAGTCGGTGCTTCGTAAGGCCGCTTTTATACTCAACACACTCAGCACTGCTGTTTCGGAGTCACTTTAAGTAGCCATGCACCGCTGCCGCTATTGCTAGGTTGACAATATGTCAAGTGTAGAAGCTAAGAGATTAACAGGTTACACATAAGGAGATTTTGACTTCTCAAATCAATGCTTCCGGTTTTGACCTCTTCTCTTCCTAAATCAGCGGTGATGTGGCAGTATTTGTCTCCAGGTGCGTGCGAAGCCACCACTTTTATTATGGTGTCTTTCCTCAACTTTGCTCGACTTGCAAACAAAACTTGTTAGCGCTGAAATGGAAGAAGTTGAAATGTGAAACAAAGCGTTTCTGGACCCTTTAAAAAAAAGTTTTCTGCAGAAGTTCTCATGTTTTCCAATTGTTGCTGCAATCTCCCACTAAGCCATCTGGAAATCTTTGTACTCCAAACGGCTCACGCTCTCGTGTCTCCAGCCCAGCTGTGCTGCGCGGGCCAGCTTACAAGCTAAAACAACACCAAAGCGCACTGCACGGAACAACAGAAGCTGTCACGTCATTTTTGGCGCGTGCCACCGTTTGCAGGCAATAACTGCCTGTAATACGTACAGATCATCAAGTGGGAGAATCCATGTGGGAGGCAGAATGTGTGAATGAGAGAGCGGCAGCAGGAAAGCATCTGTGTCTCTCTGTGTGGAGAAGGGGGAGGGGGAGGGGCAGGCAGCAGTGCAGTGCTCTGCTCAGCTGTTGTGCAAGCTTTGTGTTGTCACCTCCCTTTTTTTTTTTTCCTGGGCAAGCCCTGCCCAGCAGCGAAAGCAAAGCAGACTGCTGCTTTGGCCACCACAGAACAGCGTCAAGCAGAAGCAGCAGAACGGTTCAAGTTGAGGGTATCAAAGGGAACAAAAAGCTAATGTCGGCTGTGGTAATAAATGGTGGTCGGAGCTCTTGATAAGGAAGTATCTGTATGTGTGGCCTTAATGTTGTGTGATCAAGTCTGTTAATTTTGCTCCTGGTGAAGCCTGCCAAGACGCGGGAGATGATTGAAACTGAAATTTCATCAAAAAAAAAAAAAAAGGAAATATGTAATTTTAAGAAATTGAAATAAGCTTCTGGAACACTCTTTTAAGAAGATGTCACACTTGCTGGCTAATAAACGAGTTTTATGTACCTTGAGCTAATTTTCCAATACGCACACAACTTTGGTAACATAGATACTGAAGAGTATTTGTAACCACATGCTTTTGTTCTTGCAGGTGGCACATTAAATTGTCATTTTAATTAGTTCTACTTTTACTTGTTTTCTACAAAACACGTTGTGTGGGCGGCAGTGTTAATCGAAGCTTCAGATTCATTAGTTGTAGTTAGATTACTATAACTTATGGACACGTCAGGATTTTCCAAGTCTGCTGCCAACACGTCTCACCAAAAGTTTCCTTCGTTGGCTGGGAAAGCAAGACGGTCTTTCGGTCTCTTCATCCATCTTCATTTTGTTTGGGATCATTTTCTGTGGACGATGGCGCAAATAAATATGGCCAACCGTTTAAAATCAAATGACTGATTGTCCACATAGTGGTATGTGGAGTAATCACTGGTGGGGGAAGGGGTTTAACCAAGAGGAAATGCTGAACTGTGTGTGTCAGTGATTAGTTCGGCTCGTGAGTTTTCATGCAAGGCAGCTAATTTCTGTTTACCTTCAGTCAGACGGAGGACAAATGATTCGTATAAAAATCTGCTGGTTTGAAAAACTGCATGGAGCCCATGCTAGCTCCTTCACACAACAGCATTTACAGCTTTTTTTGTGTCATTCCCTGTTTCCCTGTGTACAGTGGAAGTGAAACATGTGGAGTAGAGTCATAAAGCCAAACACATGGTTGAATTAAACTGGAATTATCCTTTAATGTGACTTTTCTTTACTGGGAAACACTGATGAGAAGACTGACCATCATTTTGTAGACTTTGAAGGATTTGTTTTTTACCTGCGCTTTCAACATAAACAAAAACAACAACGAAACTTTATAACAAGCGGCAGCAGCAGTGCTCCTTTTCTTGAAAGGAGAGTGCTTGAATTTGTTCTGTGTGTTCGTTATCAGATTAACCTCCTACGGTGCCCAGTAGGAAAACTCTTCTTGGGCTCCTGTTGACCTTCATTGGATTTGCAGTGTATGTTACAGTCTGTCCCATTTGCAATGAGACACAAGTGAGTGGAGCGGTAAAGGAGCTGTCCACTATGAGGGTATGCTGCACGATAGGTCTTCTAACTAGCCTGCATCCTGTTACTCACTGTAGATGCCGATCCCAGGAGCTCCATTTAGCCAGCAGTATGGCCAGCCTGGGGTGCAACAGATGGGGGCAGCGGGGGTCAACGCCCAACAACTGCAGAACAAGACAGCGATTTCCAACAACCTTCCTCAGTTCCCTGCTGATTTGAAGGGAGCTGGGAGTGTGCCAAACATGGTGAGTGTCCGTCCGTTGTTTAAAAAAATAATAAACGAGGGTAAACGTCCCAGGCTTTAGTTTAAAGTTAGTTTCTGTCCTTGCTGCTACACATTAAATTCTTATTTTAGCTTTTTTACTCTGACACAACTTACTGAGCCCTTCCTGAACTTGTACCTGTTGGCCTGGTTTCAGCTTTTTTTCCACTGTCATCTTCCTGTTGTGGAGATGAGCACCAGGAGCTAAACTTCAGCAAGTCTGTTTCAGCGTACTTACAGGGAAAGTGACTCAGTCCTAGTAGAGCTGTTGCTTTTGACTGGTCAACCACAGCTGTCTGTTGTTGATCATCAAACAGATGTGACGTTGCATCTGGTTTTGTAGGTCAAGCAGGGACAGTAAAAACAGTGTTTGATAAACCGCGTGGTCTGCCTTACAATGCATTTCGTTGCACTTATGGTTATTGAGCATTTCATGTTCTCCACTGTTTTCTGCATTGCTTTGCACTTTGAGTATGTCAACACCATGAACCAAGTTTAGTTGCAGGAAGTCCCCGGGCTTCGCTGTTGCCTTTTTAAAAAATGCATCCAAATGGTTTAAAGCGCACCTCTTCTAACTTGGTGATATCCACCCACCCTAATGCGTACTGTGGCTAATTGGGACTTCATAGATGGACCTCTCACTACTGCCACTGGTAAGAGAGGGAGAGAAACATAACAGGAAGTTTATTTCATGCTTCCAGCATGATGGCATAGTAGCATAAGTTTGTTCTCATTGAGCAATGTATGTTAGTCAACCCTTATTACTGACCATAAGTGGACAGCAACCAGGATAAGAGGTTAAACTGTGTGAAATGGTATTTGGAGGGTTCTTTGTTTTTAAACATCTTTGTAGATCTTACAGTCTTATAAGATTTTTGGCAGTGTTGGCATGGTAGTTTGAGGTCGGGGATGGAGGATGGAACAAAATTTGTTTTCTTTAAAGTATTTAGTGTTGGAAATAAATCAACTTTTGTCCAAATTTAGTGAAGACTTGAGAAAGAAAGGATGACTTTTGCTTTAACTTGGGTTGGGTGTTGAATTTTCCAGTCACAGCACGCCTTAAAGTAAATCTTCTGTAGCATTTTAATAACCTTAATTAGCTTCAGACTATTAATTGGCCCGTTGAAGTTGAGTTGTTTTGATGTAGCGAATGCCAGCTCTAACAGTTTGGATGCAACTCTAGTTTTAATGTTATTTTGATGGACTTCTTTTTTTTTAATCCACTTGTGTATAATGTTTCACTTATCTGAGTATCCATTTAACATTAACGGTCGTTACCACTTTTTCCTGTGATTACACTGTATGTCGTCTTTGCTGTTAATGCAATGTTATACGTGACATACATGACCGACAGTTGCGATGGTGTGTGGGAGCGCATGTGCCCGCACACATGTTCATACCAGCGCAACGGCACTCTTCCAGTTGAGTGTAGATGTGGGTACGGGCTACAGTGATCATTCACTTACAAACAAGAAAAAACAGACGGGGCATTTCTTTGGGTTTTTTTTTATTTTATTTTATTTTAATTTTTTAGTTGGAGTTTAATGTAGCTGTGCACTAGCAGAGATGGTAGGTTAACTCTTGTGTATTTGTTGGTGAAAGAGAGTATGTGTGTGAGGAGGGTTTGCAGTGTGGTGGGGGAAGATGGGTGCGCTAGTTTTTATGTGTGTAAAAACAGATTAAAGTTGGAGGAATTATATCAGTGGGGGGAAAAACTGAAAAGAATAGACTCCGGCAGATGACTTACGGTATTATTGTTTTAACTGTTCTGTCCCCTCATGGTCAGTAAAATTCTTTTTTTTTGTGTGTGTGTGGTTAATGCTGGAAATGGGAAATTGTTTCACTTTCTCTCTCTCTCTGTCCGTCTGGTTCTCTCTGAACACGCTAATGTCTGCGACGGAAATATGTAAGCAGAGGCAGACATATTTGTCTCTAAAGTTTTGTCACTATTTTGCATTTTCCCTCATCGTCATTCCAACATTTTGTCATCTCCTTCCAGGAATTTGCTAATATCTGCGATTCCTTACAGTGGGGGCAATAATTATTTGATCCCCTGCTGAATTTGTAGCTTTGCTCACCTATTAGAAATAAATGTCTCTAATTTTTAGGTAGTTTTATTTTAAATCGAGAAAGAATATCAATCGAAGTCCCAAAAAAATATGACACACAAGTTATAATTTTGTTTGCATGTCAGTGAGTGAAATAAGTATTTGATCGCCAAGCAAAATTTGGAGGATGTGGGAAAACCCTTGCTGGCAAACACATGCGTAAGATGTTTTTGTAGTTGGACACATCTCAAGATTTAGGTCCACTCTTCTTTACAGAAACTTTCTAAATCCTTTAGGTTTCTCAGCTGCCGCTTGGCAACTCAAAGCGTCAGCTGCCTCCACAGATTTTCTGTAAGATTGAGCTCTGGAGACTGGCTAGGCCACTGCATGTTCTTGTAGTTGGTCACCAGGTTTGGCCACATCTCAGGAGGGAATCTTCTTCTTCTTTAGCCCCTCCTTTTTGCCTTGGCAGTATGCTTTGGGTCATTGGTCGTGAATGGGTCTTCTAAGGTTACAATCTTCAGTCTTCTGGCTGTGGGAAGCTTCTCAGTAAAGATTTTATGGTATTGGCCCCTCAGTGTGGTAAACTTGTCCTGTAAACTTAGCAGAAACACAGCCTCAAAGCACAATGTTTCATCCCTGACTGTGGAGAGGTGTTCATTGGGTTATACTTAGCATTTCTCTTCCTTCAAAGATGACAGGTCAAGCTAGCAAATTTAACACGGGCTTGTACATGTGCCTTCTTGAGCAGGTTGTCTTTGAAGGTGCTGATTACAGTTTGATTGATTACAGCATTGTGTGTTGCTAATGGTGTAATGCTTGGTGACTGTGGTTCCAACTGCCTTTAGATCGTTGACAAGCTCCTCTGTATTTTTGGGCTGATCCACCATCTTTTCTCATCATCATCCTCAATCCATGAGGCAAGATCTTGCATGGAGCTCCTTAACGAGTACGAAGATTTATTTTTCTTCCATTTCTGATTAATCTCACCAAGCTGCTTCTTGATGGGTCTTGCAGCTCATTGCAGCCTTGTGCAGGTCGACAGTCTTGTCTCTGACATTCTTTGACACTCTTTGGCCTTGTCCATGGGGGTACAGACGATAGATTGGGGGGGAAAAATGATTCTGTGGAAATCTGCGTTTCATACACTTAAGTTGTAATCAGGAGTATCTGCAAAAGACTGGTTGTAAAGGGAAAAAAACCTGATTATTTATCATATTGAGGTGAAAGTTGTTGTTTTCGTACTGACAAATGTAAAAAACAACTGCAATTAAAAAGTAGCCAGAAATGCATACTGGCCTGCAATGACATGTGTAGTTGCATTTCCAGGGAGGTGCACATCAGGTTACCGCATAGATCACATTGTGGGGTTTCATACCTATGATAAAGACTTAAATCTAAGGCCAAAAAAATATGCATAGCTTCAGTCAGAGGAATAATATTTTTCCTCTCCTCACGTTATGATCAATCATATATCCACATTTAAGTTTTTGCCTCCCGGGGTTTCACATCTGTGTCTGAGTTTGCACCTCTGTGCGTATCCATCACTAACTTGTGTGCGTATTGTGTGTTTATCACAGATGCCGCAACAGGTAGCATCAATGGTCCCTGCTCCCGGTGGTGTGTCCGCAGGCCCAACGGCCGACCCTGAGAAGCGAAAACTCATTCAGCAGCAGCTGGTCCTGCTGCTGCATGCACACAAGTGCCAGCGGCGGGAGCAGGCCAACGGGGAGATGAGGACCTGCACCCTGCCCCACTGCCGCACCATGAAGAACGTACTCAACCACATGACCCACTGCCAGGCTGGCAAAGCCTGCCACGGTGAGTGAAAGTGATGAGTTAAATAAATAAAGAGAAGCCTTGGATCTACCCATATGAGCTTTTATGTGACCGTGTTCTTCTAATTTGGTATTTTATCTGCTAACTGCTGCTAATAATCTCATAAAAACGAGATTCAGCTTCTAACAGATGGGTTTACTGTGCCATGTGTTTGCAGCCATAATTAAAGCCTGTGATGTGGGCCTGATGCCATTTCATTTAGCATCTAAACAAAATGGCACCGGGCGTTGATGTCTTGCAAGTTTCATCCAAACGACAATAAACACCTGTTTCTTCAGACTCGCACATATACCATTACCACAATAGTTTTGAGTGAAATTTCAAAAAATAAAAAATATCCATGAAATTTGCCTTTTTGAAAATTACTGACTTTAAATTTTAAAATGTGGCTTTAAAATAAAATGCTGAGGATTACAATTGTGTCACTTTTCGATTTATTGCTTAAATGGAGACAGTCCAATTGTTTCATTAACCAAGCCTCAGTGATTGACATTACCCAACAAAAGTTGAATCTTAAGTTACAAACAAGTTTCTCCTACAGTTTGGTCCGTGTCTGTTAGTCAGTAGCTTCACTCTGACAGTTGTTGGTAGTGATGAAGGCATCCAAGAGTTATAGACTTGGAAATTTGACATTTTATATTGTTTTTCTCCATTTAACCAGCACCTGTTCTTCACTGTAGTGTGTAGATATTGGGGTTCAATAGTCTTGCGATTTCTCCTGAATTAACTGTCACCAGCACCTCACTCTATTTTTCCTATCTGTGCTTTATTTTTCTCCAGTTGCACACTGTGCATCATCCAGACAGATCATTTCCCACTGGAAGAACTGTACGCGGCACGACTGTCCGGTGTGCCTGCCTTTGAAAAATGCAAGTGACAAAAGGAATCAGCAGCGTAAGTAACTTCAGCAGCTCCATAATTTTAATCTTAATTATTCATTAAACCCATATGAAAAAAACCCCACATGGATTATAAAGCAGATATCTGAAATGCAGGTAACTTTTCAGTAAAGCAGTCATTACTCTGGGATAAGCCTCTCATGTTTGTGGTATAAAGTGGTGCCACCTGCAGGTTGTTTCACTGCCACTTCTCTGCTGGCTCGCAGACTGTGAGGGCTCGAGCTGCAAGAGGATTCCTCTAGAAATACTGGGCCTGTAATGTGACACCCAGGGGAGGGGCTCAGTGGCGCTTTTAACACTGGGGGCAGGTTCTTGGGACAGCATGCTCTCTAATTGGTTAAAAAGCCCTATGACAGATTTAAATCCCCCACAGAGGCAGCATGCTCCCTGTCAGCTATCAACACAGCAGGGAGCAGCACAGGGATGTCAAAGTCCCAAAAAGACTATTTGTAGGGTTTTTTTTGTTTTTTTTAATTTTCACATAAAAAAAAACAAGTTTTTCATTTTTATGTTTAAAATTGTTATAGTCATATACTATCTTTTTTTTTTTTCTAACAATTTATAGGCTGACATTATTAATACAGGAGAGCATAGAAGCACACCTGAAGCCGCATTTACTCCTCAGTTATTGCAGGCTATTACTTGAGTTAATTCTTTAATATAATATTTATAATGCAAAACCAATTATCATCCTGTTTTCTCCCTACAGCTACGCTAAGTTCATCTGGAGCCAGTCTACAAAATGCCATGAATGCAGTTGGACCTGGCCAGCCCAGTGCAACAGCCATCAGCAGCGCTGCAACACAAATTGACCCCAGCTCCATGCAGAGGGCCTATGAAGCCCTGGGCCTGCCATATGGGAACCAGTCTCCTGCTCAGGTGCAGGGCCAGGGTCCATCTCAGCAAAACCCACAGGGCCCCCAGCACCAGCAGATGCGAAATATGAACCCATTAGGTATGGAATAAAACGAAATGCCAGTTTAGAAGTTTGTGTATAATTGCTTCTGTGCCAGTTTTTCATAAATTCTTCTGTGTTTTTACCAGGCTCTAATCAGATGAATCAGATGGCAGGAAGCATGGGTACCCCCTCCTCAAACCAGACTGGCATGCACTCTGATTCCTCGTTGTCTGCGCTTAGCAAGTAAGACTTTTCATTCCTTCTGCATCACTTGAAACGAGGTCTACTGTACTGCCCTTCCCAAAATAAATTTATGCCTCTCAAGTCAGTCATAAATATGTGTTCTCAGTCTCTTCGGTAATTTTATTTTATTTTATAGAAGATAATTTTTCAGTGTTATTTACAAATTATGTTCAAATTGCGTCCGTCGTACAGTCAGCTGATGCCAGATGGGTCAGTAGTAGGAGGCATGGGAAACCTCCCCGCTGCCACCCCTCTGTCTGCCACAGGGCTAAGGAAGGCCTGGCATGAACATGTTACTCAGGACCTGCGCACCCATCTGGTGCATAAACTGTAAGTGCAACAATAAAACAGCTGTGTTTGTAGATAGATGAGTTCTCATATGGTACAACAGGTTATATTTGCTTATTTTATTTTATTTTATTTTATTTTTTTCATCAGAGTACAAGCCATATTCCCAACCCCAGACCCAGCAGCACTGAAGGACCGACGCATGGAGAACCTGGTGGCTTATGCACGCAAGGTTGAGGGTGACATGTATGAGTCGGCTAACAGCAGGGTAACTTGATAAAGCATTTCACGCTATTCCACCTTCATCCTTTTTGAATATCTTTAAAGCTCTTTGTGCAGCTATCCTTGCGACTGAGATGAAATCATTTTTAAAATATCCCCCCCTTTGTTTTTTTTTTTGTTTTTTTGCCTCCTCACTAGGATGAGTACTACCACTTCCTGGCAGAAAAGATTTACAAGATACAAAAGGAACTGGAGGAGAAAAGGCGCTCCCGGCTTCAGAATCAGCCTAGCATGGGACCAGCTGGGCCACAGCAGCCTCAACCCAACCCCATGGGCCCAGGACAAGCCATTCGACCTCCTAGTTAGTAACTTAAATTCTTAATCAGCCGTTGACTGTCCTAAGTTGACAGTACCAAAATACCTTATGTTATAATTACTTTAATGTTTCATCAAATCTCTGTTTTTATCTGAAAGAATCTTTTAAAAGAACCTCGACTTATCCTGTCTTCTCAGATGGACCTACACAGATGCCTAACATGCAAAATCAGATGATGCCCCGCATACCACAAGGTATGTGTTCATCTTCTGGTTTTTGTTTTGTTTTTTGGGGGGGAGGGTAGCACTTGAATTTGCGTCTTTTATTTCTAACATGCTCTAGTGGTTTGTCTGTTGAATGCCACTTTTATTTGTTTCATTTGTCCACACCTGTTAAATTGCTCTGATACAGGATATCAAATTGATCTGGTTAAGTCTCCCTTATATCCCATTTGGTTATGCATTATTAAATTATATTAATTCCCAAGGATCTTAACAAGATATGTACTTGTCCCCCACAGGAATAAATCAGTTTAACCCAATGGCAGTGCAGAATACACAGATGCCTCAGGCACCCATGGGAGCAAGGACTCCCTCCCCCAGGAACCATCCACAGCAGATGAACATGAACTCCATGCCAGCGGTTAGATACACTCCTTTGTTTCGTTTTGTTTTTGTGTTTTGTTTTTCTTTCCCTTTTCTCTTGCCTTAAAGCAGTTATTTTTCTCTGAGCTCACTTGCTTGCTCCCTTAAATTTCTTTTCCCTCTTCTTGACCGTGAAATACGCGAGTCTTTAACTGTATATTTAGTTAATGCTCTGTTACTATTGTCACACGGAAGCATCAATACAAAATGTGTTTCCTGTAGTTCACACAGATCTTGATTCATTTATGAACCAGCTGCTAATGAATAATCTGTACTGAAACTACTGCCCAGGCCTGGGCTTACAGCCGTCCCAGGTGTAGTTTGCGTCTGTATTCTTCTTTGAGTCAGCCGAGGCTGTTAAGTTTACACCACAGGACCTTCAGAAAAATAGCAGGATGCCCTTGTGGTAGCTTGCATGTTGGTAGCATTTCCTTTAGAAACAAATGATTTTACCTGGCAGACACCTTCATAATAGGTGTTGTCTGTTGTTTTGATTTATCTATTTGATCTCTTTGACTTTACAGATGGGAATGTCTCCATCAAGGATGCCTCAGACTCAAGGAATTATGGGTAGTCATGCTAATAACATGGTATCTCAGCCAGCCAACCAAGGCCAGTTCCTGCAACAGGGCCAGTTTCCTGTAAGTGCGGGTGGAGCGATGAATGTGAATATAGGTTTGGGACCTGCCATGTCACAGGCTAGTGTCACACAGGTGAGAAAGATGCTGAGGTTTTTTCTTAATTCTCCTAGACTTTTTATTGCACATTGCTTGTTTCTTTTTAAATATATAATCTTTTGTGTGTGACTTTGGTGTCACACGCTTTGTAAATGGTTGGTAAAGTTATTCTAATAGTGCGCACACCTTTGTTCCAACAGCCACAAAACTCTAACCTCCCTCTGAATGCACCGAGCTCCATTGGCTCTCAGCTGCCCTGCGGCCCTACAGCTCAGCCTGCCCTGGGTACCACCCCTCCACCCAGTGCCTCTGCCACCCAGCAGCAGCCGCCGCCGCCACCACCACCGCAGCCACAGCCACACCATACTCCCACCCACTCCCAGATGCTTCCACAGCCCTCCACTCCCGTGTCCACGGGTGGGCCCTCCTCCACCCCAACCCACATACCTAGTGGCCTCCCTCGTCCCCCCTCAGCCTTGGGGACACCACCTGACCCTTCTCACCCTCTCACACCCCTGCAGCCCCAACCTGAGCCCTCCAGCCAGATGCAGCAGCCCTCCTCTGTGCAGGCACAGCACCCCAGCACGCCGGTGAGATACTAGTTTTTCCCTGAAAAGCTACCACAGCTCTTGAATTGCTTATGCCTTTTTCACTTTCCTTTAAAGCACCATCCAGGTGTTTTAACCAAACAATATTTCAAATTTTATTTAATAAAATTTAGCTGTCAATATTTTAATCGCAGGAGGGGAAAAGTTTTTTCTTATAAATCAGAATTTTTTTTTAAAAACTGGCAGCACTAAACAGTTTCTGTTTCTGCTTTAAGTTGTCCCATCAAACAGCACCGAGCATAGATAACAGAGTGCCTACCCCAGGCTCTGTGGCTGAACTGAGTTCCCAGCAGGCCCTGCCTGACATGAGCAGCACTGAAGCCAAAAGTGAAGTAAAAGATGAAGAAGACGACAGCAGCTCTCTGAAGACGCAGAATGATGTAAAAATGGAGGTATGTGCAAACTTTCTCCACCACAAATAAACCAGTTCTGTCAGTAAATCTGTCTTGTGGGATTTCAGTAACTTAATCTAAGGCGTTATGCTTCCATGGGTGTCAAGTGCTTGATGGTTTGCTGTCTTATCAGTGTTGGATAGATGGTTAACAGTCATTGTGTTAATATATAATCAGGAGGAAGAAACCAAACCCCCAGTGGTGAAGAAAGAGGAGCCAGATGCAGCAGAACCAAAGCAGGAACCAATGGAAACTGAGGAAAAGAAGCCAGAAGTGAAGACAGAACCCAAAGAAGAGGAGGAAAGTGGGGCCAACAGCACGTCAACTACCACCGCTCAGAGCCGCAAAAAAAGTAATGTTACTATATTTAGATATAAGGTGTAAAAAAATTAGACATAGGATGAAATAGTTTTTTGGTATTTTTCAGCACGCTTGAACACCCAAATGCTTGCTCTTCCTTGGTAGAGTGCTCAAGTTAAAGGTGTTATACTTAAACAGCAGCACAAGGAAAATGGCTTTTTCACTCACTCACCACAACACTTTCACTAAAATATCAATGGATGCTTTTCTGTGTATATAGGAAGTACACTCTTGGCCTCAAAATCTTGTTTAGACCCTTTTAGCACGACGGTCTTTGTGCAAGAGTTTTGCGTGATTGTCCACAAGTCTCATCAGACAGATGAAAAGCTACATGTTAGCTAGCTGTAAATGTTCTATTGTTGAGGGTTGTTTTGCATAGACTATTTAAAATCACTCCACAACATTTCAAAGGAAATAGCCTATCTTTCACAAAAATAGTTGAGCTGTGAGCTGCCCAGCCCCGGCCTCAAACCACAAGATTTTTTCCCATCATACTTAACAGGTGGTCCAAGACGCTTCCTCTGAAAAGCCACTTTTGGTCCGAGCCTAACGACTGCTATTGTGTTGTATTTGTTTGTCCAGAGCATGTTCTTGTCAAAAGCCCTTTCTTTTGTATTCACTGGCAGACTGTAGTTTTGCGTTAATGCTTTAATAGGACAACAAAGAATTTTCTGGCATGTCTCCTGTACATGTTAAACGTATGTGATCTCTAATGGCTGATGCAATCTGGTTCTTATAGTGGAATTCCAATGAACTGCTGTTTTAATTTAACAGATAAAGTAACTAGTTGTTTGAAGCCTTAGCCACTTGTAGATCATTTTCCTCATGGTGGAGCAATTTATTTATTTGTACATCTTTTTAATCCTTTGCCAGACTTAAAAAAGTATCTAGAGACTATTTTCTGAAGGTTTTTTAAATTCCTGGCATGATGACAGCAAACACTTCAAAAGCATAAAGAGAACTGGGCCCTGGATGTCAGAGGCAGGTTCCACTTGTCACTTCCCAAGAAGGCTGTAATCATTGACACCTAATCGTGATATAAGTGCGATTCCTTTTTTTTTTTTTTTTTTTTTTTTTTTTTTATTCGTCCCTTTTGTCAATGTTTATCAACAGCATTATCTACTGGCAGCGTTTTTGAAAAAAGAACAGCATTTGCCTTTCAGACATTTTAACATGAAGTCAAATTTTTTATGGGTATTAGTATTTTGTGTGTATGTGTGTTATTTAAGTATTTAAACTAAGTCTGGAGTGGAAATCTATTGAACAAGACACAATTTTATGCCTGCATCACCAGGCATTTAATTTGTAAACCCAGCTGCACGCCACTGATCAGTACTGAGTCCATTTAGTTAAGGAATGTCACGATTCCTTAACTAAATGGCTCAGGCTCAGGGGGTTGGGAAGCGTATCTGTAACTGGAAGGTCGCCGGTTCGATCCCTGGGCTCTCTGTCCTGGTCGTTGTGTCCTTGGGCAAGACACTTTACCCTACCGCCTACTGGTGTTGGCTAGAGGGGCCGATGGCGTGATATGGCAGCCTCGCTTCTGTCAGTCTGCCCCAGGGCAGCTGTGGCTACAACTGTAGCTTGCCTTCACCAGTGTGTGAATGCGAGAGTGAATGAATAGTGGTATTGTAAAGCGCTTTGGGTGCCTTGAAAAGCGCTATATAAATCCAATCCATTATTATTATTAATAATTATTTTATTTTTAGACATAGGTATGCTGTTTATGTGTTTTTCCTCATGGGCTTATTCTTGTCTTTAGTTTTCAAGCCAGAGGAACTGAGGCAAGCCCTAATGCCAACACTTGAAGCCCTCTACAAGCAAGACCCAGAGTCCCTGCCTTTTAGACAACCTGTAGATCCAATGCTGTTGGGTATCCCTGTAAGTATACTTAATGATGTGCCTTTACTCAAAGCTTCGAATTGTTATGGGTCATTTGCTCAATCCTGGAATTGCTTCTCTGCTTCTGCTCCTGTAGGACTACTTTGACATAGTAAAGAATCCCATTGACTTATCCACCATCAAGCGCAAGCTGGACACGGGTCAGTACCAGGAACCGTGGCAGTACGTGGAAGATGTGTGGCTCATGTTCAACAACGCGTGGCTGTACAATCGTAAAACATCCCGAGTCTACAAGTACTGCACCAAACTGGCAGAAGTGTTTGAAGCAGAAATCGATCCTGTCATGCAGGGTCTGGGCTACTGCTGTGGCAGGAAGGTAAGATGGCACATCCTGGATAGTCAACACAAGCTACTTAGGGCAGCACACCATTCTGCTTACTGATAAAAGTCACTTACCCTTAGTTTAGTCTTTATTTGGCTGTTGACTTTAGATGAAAGCTGATTGTCACATTTACGTGTACCTTAATGTTTTGTGGTTTTTTTCCCACCCTGCAGTTTGAGTTCTCACCACAGACACTGTGTTGCTATGGCAAACAATTGTGCACCATCTCGAGGGATAGCACCTACTACAGCTACCAGAACAGGTAAAGGTGCATGCTTTCTCTGCTGAAGGGATTGGCATGGGTAAAGAGGTGAAGAATTAATTATACAAAGTGGGTGTGAAGTTAAACCCTCAAAAGTACAGCATGACTAAAGATCCCACTTCGCATTCACCATTCTGCAAAACTATAACCCAGGAATGTGGGAAAAAAACTTTGATCTTAAGTGGGCCGGACCAATAAAACTGCCCTTTTTCTCCTTGTGTGGAAGTTTAACTTCACATTGAATCCCTTAGATACTCAAAAA